CCCTTCCATCATGTCATTCACATATACCAAAAATAGCACTGGTCCTAGGACCGACCCCTGTGGGACCCCACTCGTCACGGGTGCACACTGTGATACCTCATCACGTACCATGACTTGTTGTTGCCTCCCTGTCAGGTATTCTCTGATCCATTGCAGTGCCCTTCCTGTTATACGCGCCTGATCCTCTAGCTTCTGCATTAATCTCCTGTGAGGAACTCTGTCGAAGGCCTTCTTGTAGTCCAAGAAGATGCAATCAACCCACCCTTCTCTCTCGTGTCTTACTTCTGTTACTTTATCATAAAACTCCAGTAGGTTTGTGACAAGATTTGCCTTCCATAAATCCGTGCTGGTTGGCGTTTATACTCTTGTTCTGTTCCAGGTGCTCCACCACTCTCCTGGTAATTTTCTCCATGACTTTGCATACTATACACGTCAGTGACACTGGTCTATAGTTTAGTGCCTCTTTTCTGTCTCCTCCTTTAAATATGGATACTACATTTGTCCTCTTCCATACCTCATGTAGTTGCCCAGTTTCAAGGGATGTGTTGAAGATTGTGGTTAGTGGCACACACAGCATTTCTGTGTGTGCACTCACCTAATTGTGGTTGCAGGGGTCGAGACAGCTCCTGGCCCCGCCTTTTCACTGATCGCTGCTAGGTCCTCTCTCTCCCTACTTCCAGAGCTTTGTCATACCTCGTGTGTGTGTGTGTGTGTGTGGTGTGTGTGTGTGTGTGTGTGTGTGTGTGTGTGTGTGTGTGTGTGTGTGTGTGTGTGTGTGTGTGTGTGTGTGTGTAAACACACGAAACTACACAAGTGTTTCTCTTCTGGTTAATTTCCTGCTGCAGTATTTTTTTCTCGTTTTTGGAACAACGCGATTTAAGAACATAAGAAAGAAGAAACACTGCAACAGACCTACTGACCCATGCGAAGTAGGTCCATACTACTCCCCGGCTTAGAACAATGACCACCTAGTCAGGTCACTTCCACTTAAGGAAGGAGCACGGCACCAGACCTGGTAGCACAAGCTAATCAGGTCCAACTCACACCCACCCACTCATGTATTTATCCAACCTATTTTTAAAACTACACAAAGTCTTAGCTTCTATGACGGTGCTCGGGAGTTTGTTCCACTCATCCACAACTCTATTACCAAACCAGTGCTTTCCTATGTCCTTCCTGTATCTGAACTTTTCCAACTTGAAACCATTGCTGCGAGTCCTGTCTTGGCTGGATATTTTCAGCACGCTATTTACATCCCCTTTATTTATTCCCGTTTTCCATTTATACACCTCAATCGTATCCCCCCTAATTCTAAGCCTTTCTAGAGAGTGCAGATTCAAGGCCCTCAGTCTATCCTCATATGGAAAATTTCTGATACATGGGATCAGCTTTGTCTTCCTCCTCTGTACGTTTTCCAGTGAATTTATATCCATTCTGTAATATGGTGACCAGAACTGTGCAGCATAATCTAAATGAGACCTAACCAAGGATATATAGAGTTGAAGAACAACCTGAGAACTTCTATTATTTATACTTCTTGAAATGAAGCCAAGGATTCTGTTAGCTTTACTGCGAACACTTATGCATTGTTGTCTAGGTTTCAGATTACTACTAATCAGAACTCCTAAATCCTTTTCGCAATCAGTATTATTAAGATCTACACTATTCAGTTTATAAGTGGCATGGTTAATGTCCTGTCCAACATTGAGAACTTTGCATTTGTCACTTCTCCGACCACTGCATCAGTCTATTCAAATCATCCTGAAGTGCACTAATGTCCTCTATAGAATGAACTGGACGGCCTATTTTGGTGTCACCAGCAAATTTGCTTATGTCGCTATTTATTCCCTCATCTATGTCGTTTATGTAGATTGTGAACAACAAGGGGCCCAATACTGACCCTTGTGGAACACCGCTCGTGACGTGCCCTCATTATGATTTCTCCCCATTTATACAAACTCTTTGCTGCCTATTTGTCAACCATACCTCTACTCCCGAAAAAATTTTCTCCTATTCCGTGTGTCTTAAGTTTCCTGACATTTCCATTCTCTTGGATATGTGAAGAATAAAACGCAGGTTGAACGAACTGAGGGACCGATATCCTGATCGTTTAATGTCTCCAATGCGTAAGCTCTGCACAGAATAAATAATAGTCATTGGTGGGCGAAACGTCTTAATAATATAGATATCCAGGTGTAAGTGTGGCTTATTCCTAAACTTGTCGGTAATATACCAATAATGTTGACTAATGGATTTTTTTTTTTTTTGACTCAGGTCCACCGGAGGAAGTGACTGGGTGTACGGTGAGCAATGTCACCTCTCACTCCAGCAGTATAGTCTGCCTGCCGGGCTTCAACGGTGGTTTACCACAAATGTTCCTTCTTCAGGTAAGTTCTTCAATACCCCGCTGTACATTGTCAAATACTCGCGAACACTCCTTGCCTTACTTCTATCCCCACCATCTTCCTAGACCCGAATTCTCATTTTCTCCTGTTTACTTTCATGGAACGTTAATTATCTATATATATATTTTTTTTGCCAGGTAGAAGCTCACAGAAGGTTCCTTGATTTTGGTGAGTGGCTCTTGATCTAAGGAATTGGGTAGGTGCTCTAATTCCTTGAATAAGGCTGGAATGCCTCTCATTCCCAGAGGCACTGAATGACTTATGGTTTTAGTGCTCTCCCATAAATTTAATAATAATTTGTCTGGTAGAGGATCGATGGCTGGCTACTTAAAAAATAAATTGCATCAGCCGGCCTTTTTTTAATGCCTTTTCTGCACTTTAGTGGCGTTCATGGCTGTTGACTCAAAAAACCTGAGCTTCCTTAGCTTTTCTCGAATCATATCTGATTCTCTGTCATTTCACTGGTGTTTTTCAATCCCTACGAGTTTAGTGCTTTCCTTATAATACAGTATTATTGATGATACTACTACTATTAACAATAATAATAATGATAATTAATAATAATCATATTGCCTCACCAACTACAGGTGTGGAAGGAGGATCCACCCAAGGCAGATGTGTTGGTGCTGAACATTTCACTGTCTCAGCCAGAGTTCCTGGTGCGGTCATTGGTCCCTGGACACCACTACCGCGCCCACGTTACCGCACACAACGCGAGAGGTGCCACCCCACCTGTCACTCTCTATATCCACACTCTAAAGCAAGCAGAAATGCATAAAAGTAAGTCCATTTCCAGTAGCCACTTGCTCAACCAGACGACAGTAGGATTTAGATATCGTACAGTCGACCATAGTTAATGTAAACCACAGACTGTAGATCAAGATTTTATTAATACAACGTTTCATTCTGTGTAGAGCTTTATAGTCATGATAAAGCTCTTCTCTGTGAGAAACGTTGTCCTAATCAAAGCTTGTTCTGCAACGTGTGTCTTGTCTCCCGTATATGTGGATAGTTTGGTTTGTTGTTCTAATGAAGTATTCGATTAGTTGCTAGCAACTCAGCGGTAGCGTCTTCGGCTCACAAAGAGCCTAGGTCCAATTCCGATTCGCTACACTAAGTCTCCTAATACCTACTGACCCTATCGCCTTGCAGTAAATAGGTTCCCGGGTGCTAGCCGGCTGATGTGGGTGTTCATCGTAAACTGTAGTATACACGTATTTAAGATAGATTTGTACTTTGCAGTCTGCTTGTTTATCTAAGGGAATCGTGATAATCTGCTTTTAATATGCTTTTTTAAAGATTTTTTTTTAATATACAAACTTTATTTTTTGGATACTGTAGTATCGGATAGTTATTTATTATTATTATTATTATATTATTATTATTATTATTATTATTATTATTATTTTAGTTTTTAACACGTTGGCCGTCTCCCACCAAGGCAAGGTGATCCGAAAACTAAGAAAAAAGTTTTTCTTTTTACATTTAGTAATTTATACAGGAAAAGAGGTTGCTATCCCCTTGCTCCCGGAATTTTAGTCACCTCTTCCAACACGCATGGCTTACGGAGGAAGAGTTCTTTTCAACTTCCCCACTGATTATATTAACATTATTATTATTGTAGTCATAGGGAACCACCAAAACTGGTAATGGTTATTCAAACAACTTATTACACAACATAAAAATGCTTCCCACGACTCTTCTTTTTCTCCTTTGATTAGGTTTGCCTTCGCGTTCTGAACCGTCGCCACTGACGTTGGTGCTGGCGGTGATCGGCGGTGCTTTGCTAGTGGTGGTGGCGCTGCTGGTGGGTATTTGGGCGGTGAGAGGTCGCAGAAGAAACTCCCACAACCACAGAGAGAGTGTCCATATTCCTATGAAAGAATCTAATCCTGACATACTTGGTAAGTGTCGCCTGTATGCTAGTTTAATCATGAATGTGCGATTTTCTCCGTGCGCGCGCGCGTGTGTAAGAGAGAGAGAGAGAGAGAGAGAGAGAGAGAAGAGAGAGAGAGAGAGAGAGAGAGAGAACAATGAGTGAATGAACACTGCCCCGAGAGATAAATACACATCTCTCGATGTATATACCGAGCGGTGTATATATTTCTCACTGCATTAGCTGCCACCACGCACACTCTCCTTAATAAGTTGCAAACATGTCACCCCAACAGAGGCTGCTCCCCAACCACCCTCATCTGCCCATACTATAAGCATCAGCATTATCAAACAGACTCATCCACCGTATGATGGGGAGACCTCTCCACCCGACGGAAGCGCAGAAGAGCTGGGCATGGGTATGGGCCTTCGGCCTGGGTTACCCTCGCAGAAAACTGCCTTTGGAGTTTCCGAACTTTTACACAGACCAATTGAAAAGAGTTTACAGGTAAGTCCTTGATGATATGTCTGTTGGTGTTAGTTTGCAGTTGAATGTGACACAGTGAACTCTTAATTACTTTCTTCTACCAAGGAGTGTTGATTTTCATCAGTGCAATATAGGAGGTTCCAAACTTCCAAATGAGTGTTCTTGGCATTTCAACTTACGAGCGAAATGTCTTCCTGTTGCGAACTTACAAAATAATTGTATATCTGACGTTTTTATTTACACGCGAGTTTTATCTTGCGGTTCAGCTGACACTGACATGTTTGTTTGTAATGAGAAAAGATTATTTTAAAAATACAATTGTTTTTGCAAAATGCGATGTTTATAACTCGAAAAATTTGTAAGTAGGATCTCCTGTATTGTTACTGTAGATGGAACAGTTTAGAAATTAATTTATCTTTCATATTAATTAAGAATGTATATTCTCTATTTTAATTACTGTACGTCAAACTGCCGTAAAGAAGAGAGAGAAAAAAGTGTAACTTTTGTTTATTTGCGTTTCATGAAATATATGAAATTCTCGCGAGACATTTAGCCCCAAGGAGCGTGAAGTCTCGATCCTTCCTCCAATAATCGGGACCAACCTAGTCTCTCTGTCGGACCAGTTAGTCTGTTAATATTTATATGCATACACAATCTGCAGAGATTTACAAATGTCCCAAACAAATATGCTAATAAAGGACTCTCTTCTTCATTATATGATTACCATATTTTACGTCTTCGAAGACGCTATTTTTTTTTTCCAAAAATATGTCCCGAAAATTTACCTGGCGTCTTGGAGGCCCAAGTACCTTTTTTTTTTTTTTTTTTTTAAATTTAGCCAAACAGAATTTTGGAGCGTCCAAGACACCGAAACGTCTTACTCGCCGTAAAATACGGTATTTTATTCATGTTTTATAATCATAATAACTAACGTGGTTTATTATTAAATCAGGTCTATCTCCATATGGTGCAAAGTGAGAGTGAAGCAAATAGTTTTGATTTTCAATATATTTATGTAATGGCCTAGGTTATTTTGTTTGAAATGTGCCACATAGTACAGATACAGCTTGCAGCATCCGCATGGCTCTAGCTCCAGGCTCAGCCTTCATTGCAGGAATGCGCACAATGTTGCTTTCCATCTCCCATAAAAGTTAACTTCTAAACAGTATCAATTACAAATTTACTTTGATTTTACTTGAATCTGGATTATCATTAAATTTAACTTGTACATCTTTTCAAGTAAGTCAAAGTTAATGATATTTGGATCTAGATTTATCCTTTCCCCTCCCCATTTCCCTCGCCTCCATTTGGCCCCCTTCCCTAGCTGAAACTGCCAGCTGACTCCCACCCGCCCCTCCCCAAATACCCAATCACCTGACACTTCGTCATTTTGGGAAAAACATCAGGGCGTCCCTTTGCATAGCTTCATTGCTGTTTACCTTCGCTCCTTTCCGCTTACTTGGCACTGTTAGCGTGACTATTATCTCTCCCTATATCATTAATTCATCCTGTCTACTCCTTAAGTGTTAACATAAGGTCGTACTGAAGACCGGAATGAAGGCAGAGACACAGTAGAACAAAATATATATAGGGGAAATATTCAGGGGATTATATTTTGATCGGTAATGAACAGTTTATATGCAGCTTTAAAACATCTTCACATCAATATCACCTTCACATCAGTATCACCTTCACATCAGTATCACCTTCACATCAGTATCGCCTTCACATCAATATCACCTTCACATCAATATCACCTTCACATCAATATCACCTTCACATCAATATCACCTTCACATCAATATCACCTTCACATCAATAATCACTCTTTCACATCAATATCACCTTCACATCAATATCACCTTCACATCAATATCACCTTCACATCAATATTACCTTAACATCAATAACATCTTCACATTAGCATCTCCTTCACATAAGCGTCACCTTAACATTATCACCTTCAAACCATACCACGGGTAGGGCTTGAACTTGCGGTTAGAGAGTCGTAAAACTCCAGACCGACTCTTTAACCGCGGGTTTAAGCCCCACCCGTGGTATGGTTTGTCTGCAATCGTGTCATTACGATTTCGCGAGTCATCACCTTCACATCACCACCACCTATTAAGAACCCTTTGAGAATTCGAATGGGCTTTTATGCCAAATTATCCGCAGCTGAGCAAGACTTGATTGGGTAAACGTTTTGTTTTCAGAACTTCCTCGGGCGAAATGTTGGACCACCTAAGTTTGGTTCTACTACATGTCTTTGCCTTTACAACGTCAACACTGTTCACATTACTATCATTATCACATTTCCTGTTTATCAGACTTAATTTCTCAAGTTCTTGGGACTTTCAAGTTCTTGGGACTTTCAAGTTCTTGGGACTTTCAAGTTCTTGGGACTTTCAAGTTCTTGGGGACTTTCAAGTTCCTGGGGACTTTCAAGTTCCTGGGGACTTTCAAGTTCCTGGGGACTTTCAAGTTCCTGGGGACTTTCAAGTTCCTGGGACTTTCAAGTTCCTGGGGACTTTCAAGTTCCTGGGGACTTTCAAGTTCCTGGGGACTTTCAAGTTCCTGGGGACTTTCAAGTTCCTGGGGACTTTCAAGTTCCTGGGGACTTTCAAGTTCCTGGGGACTTTCAAGTTCCTGGGGACTTTCAAGTTCCTGGGGACTTTCAAGTTCCTGGGGACTTTCAAGTTCCTGGGGACTTAATTTTTTCAAGCATATTGAGCTAAATTTTTTAAGTTCATAGGATTTAATTCTCTCTACCTCATGGGACTCTGGCTCTCTCTACCTCATGGGACTCTGGGGCTCATCCTACCTCATGGGACTTCTGGCTCTCTCTACCTCATGGGACTCTGGCTCTCTCTACCTCATGGGACTCTGGCTCTCTCTACCTCATGGGACTCTGGCTCTCTCTACCTCATGGGACTCTGGCTCTCTCTACCTCATGGGACTTTATTCTTTCAAGTTAATGGGATTTTATTCTTTCAATAGGACTTTATTTTCATGATATTCATGTTTAGTCAAATTATCATTTTTTTTTTCAAAGTCATTCATTTTTTGTCATTATTATTATTTTAGCTTTGAGTGTCTTTGTCCATCCTAGCTGCAGCTATCTGCATAGGTAGCTTCATCGTCACCTGTCTTGGCTCGTCTAGTACGCTTCAAAGCTACCTTTCTCTATGCAACGTCTTGCTTTAGCTTCAGTTCCGTCTATGTAATACTTGGACTCATGTACCGCCGCTTGCAATAATTAGGTTGATAGTCTCTGTTGAAGATTTTTTAACTAATTTGCAAATGATTAGAACTCGATAATAGCCTCAGTTTATATCACATAGCACATTTTCTTTTGTTTTAACTCGTTTTCAAAGAGACTGTGACTCATTAAAAATACTTAACACAGTTAAAAAAAATACTGCTCATTTCTAAAATATTTGTTTAAAAAATACCAGACACTTACAATCTCTAAATTTAAGTAGTTTTCCTGCCGGGGAAATCTTGTTGACCAGGTCTGATGTGGTTTTTGACCTGGTGTGGTGTGGCCATGACCATCATGTCTTGTGTGGCTATGACCATTAAGTCTGATGTGGCCATGACTATCAAGTCTGGTGTGGCCATGACCATCAAGCCTGGTGTGGCCATGACCATCAAGTCTGGTGTTGCCATGATTATTAAGTCTGGTGTGGCCATGACTAAAGTCTGGTGTGGCCATAAATATCAAGTCTAGTGTAGTCTTCGATCAGAACGAGCATTTGTAGTCTGGTCTACTTCTCAATGATCAATTACGGTTTACAAGCTCACTTGTATTGTTCTCTTTACGTTTTATATTGGCGACAAAGAGGGAAATACAGCAGTTTCTCCTTACTGAATTTCACGGCAAAGAAAGTAAAGTTTCTCTTCAGATCGAAGAAAATCACAGTAAATTACATTTGGTAGTATTTTGTTCGTCAGGAAACAGAACATTTGTCTCCTGACTCGCATCTTTTTCAAATGAACCGTAACTCGTTTAGCATCCGCCGGATCCATGAAGCTATGTTATACACCCCTTCTTAGAATATTTCTTTTCACTGATGTAATATAAGCAATTTAAGCTATTCACTAAATGCACCTTAAAGAGGCCCATGAGCTTAATCTCAACGTACTCAAGATAACTAGGAAATGTCCTATGATTTATTGCACTTGGTTATTTTATATTTAAAGCCCATTGATTGCACAAAGAATTGTTAAAGCAATGTTACCTGTACACTACGTGGTAAGGATATTTTTACACAGGGATTAAACTCTCAGTGTTTATATACCGAGATAAACAGTCCTCAAAGTGTGCCTAAAGTTTCACTCCTGGTATCTTGTTCCCTCCATGGTCGCCCAGGACCTTGTTCCCTCCATGGTCCCCAGGACCTTGTTCCCTCCATGGTCCCCAGGACCTTGTTCCCTCCATGGTCCCCAGGGCCTTGTTCCCTCCATGGTCCCCAGGACCTTGTTCCCTCCATGGTCGCCCAGGACCTTGTTCCCTCCATGGTCCCCAGGGCCTTGTTCCCTCCATGGTCCCCAGGACCTTGTTCCCTCAATGGTCCCCAGGACCTTGTTCCCTCCATGGTCCCCAGGACCTTGTTCCCTCCATGGTCCCCAGGACCTTGTTCCCTCCATGGTCGCCCAGGACCTTGTTCCCTCCATGGTCCCCAGGACCTTGTTCCCTCCATGGTCCCCAGGGCCTTGTTCACTTCACAGTACCCAGGACCTTGTTCCCTCCATGGTCCCCAGGACCTTGTTCCCTCCATGGTCCCCAGGACCTTGTTCCCTCCATGGTCCCCAGGACCTTGTTCCCTCCATGGTCCCCAGGACCTTGTTCCCTCCATGGTCCCCAGGACCTTGTTCCCTCCATGGTCCCCAGGACCTTGTTCCTCCATGGTCGCCCAGGACCATGTCCCTCCATGGTCCCCCCCAGGACCATGTTTCCCTCCATGGTCCCCAGGACCATGTTCCCTCCATGGTCCCAAAGGGCCTTTTTCCCTCCATGGTCCCCAGGACCTTGTTCCCTCCATGGTCCCCAGGACCTTGTTCCCTCCATGGCCCCAGGACCCTTTTTCCCTCCCTGGTCCCCCAAGGGGCCTTGTTCCCTCCCGGGGCCCCCGGACTTTTTTTCCCTCCATGGTCCCAGGACCTTGTTCCCCCCCTGGTCCCCCGGGGCCCCGTTCCCCCCATGGTCCCCCGGGGCTTGTTCCCTCCATGG